AAACCATGAATGCACAAGAAGCCTACTTAGCAAGTTCCTCCTCTTGGCTGCAAGTGAAAGAGCTATGTAAGGCAGGTTCATTGACTTTTTCATAAGCCCACAGAATTTTTTAACTTTTCTTTGAACAACAGGCTCATGTGTCATAGACTTTTGGAAAGTCCTCTTAAGGAGAACACTCAGGTTTAAAGTAAATCCCTCTTTGCATCTAATTTAGTAACTTTTAAGCAATGCAAATAGCATACAGTGGGGACCATGGGCCCGGACACCTATAGGTACTAATGGGATCAAAGCTGGCATAGAGAGGAAATTTAACCTTTCCCTCCCTCACTGTGATCCTGAAGCTGGTATTTGTATTAGGTGGAAATCCCCCACTGACTCCTAATGGAGGATTTCCCCTGAAGGCTAACACCATCTGCAGAAGAGGGATTTTCTTCAGCACCACACAGCTGGAGTAATTTGTCTGGGGGGGGGGGCAGCGAGAAGCACAAGAACAAAGGCTGGTTGGATGCCAGTTGTGCAGTTCTTTCAATTCCATTGCCTTCATTGGCACTTCCTAACTCAATCCAATCAGAATGTTCATCTTCAGGCACACTTAAACTGCTTTAGTTTCTGGGAAAGTGGAGGCAAAGTAAAAGAAGAGACATCATAACAATATGTTAGATAAGAATTTTGTTTGCCCACTGCTTTTTATATTAAGTGGCTGGCATCTTGTTAGGGACATACGTTTACATAAATTTCCCTAACACACACATACGTCTTTCTGGGGGGTGTTGCAATGGGTAGCATTTCCTTTCTCCTTCTGATTGCCCAAAGCCCCCTGACTTACTGAACAATTTCTAATGTCCTTCTGCATGGTCATTCCCTGTTTTGTGGGGAGATGGCAGGATTGAAGAAATGGGTCCCCATAGCTATATATGAAATGATGATATTAGCACTAAGATCTGCCAGTGTCCTCTGAAGGTCTCAGCACTGGTGTAATCATTTTCCATCTATCTATAGGGATGCAGCTAGACATTGCGGTGATCCTGCCTGCTCCCAATAAAGCAAAGAATAGGGGTGTGTGTGTGTGTGTGTGTGTGTGTGGTGGTGCTTTAGAAAATATTCAGTAAGTTATTAATAATTGTATATGGCTCAGAATAGTATGGGTCTGCATGAGGACCTATATTGCTATGCTGACCCATACATAGCTAATATATTAAGACACAAATCCATCCTCATCCAATAAAATAATTGCACATACTGTGGTTATGCTGGCTAAAGGATTCTACAATGGTGACTAGGAATGTAATTCTTCACTGTTTCTTCCTGAATGCAGAAAAGTAATTTCAACAATTCTCTGCATGGAAAATAATATTTCAATGCAAAAATTTTCATTCGTGTGCTGTTTTCTATGCAAATCAGCCATGTGTGAATAAATCCCCATTACAGCATTTTCTACACAGAGGACAGCATTATCTGAATTGGAATGAATATATGCTATTTCCTCCACAGAAACCATACTGTTATATATATATGCTATTTCCTGCAAATTAACCATACTGTTTTTCTGCAAATTTAAGCAAAACAAATTCCCAATTATAGCATTTTCTGCACAGAAAACAGCATTCTCTGAACAGGAATTCATATTTCTACACTGAAATACTATTTTCCATGCAAAAAAAATATATGCTATTTTCTGCACATAAAATGCTTTTTAATGCACATAATAACCACATGCAAAGTTTGAGCAGAATAAATCCCGAACTGTGGAGATTCTCATCAATCCAGGATTCTTCTCAACATGTTTTCTGTTAGAATATGGATGGGTTAAACCAGGGGTAGGCAACCTAAGGCCCAGGGGCTGGATGCAGCCCTCCGAAGCCTTTGGACCAGCCCAAGGCCAGTCCTGCCGCCACCGCTGCCCACCATGATGATATCGATTATTGTTGTTATTACTTGT